GAATACCGATCTTACCCAGTGGGTTTGTGAACCCACGGAACCCACTGAGTTCGCGAACCTAATGGGATCCGAAACCCGCTGGGTTCGTTGATGAGTACGGCCACTGGAGTATGAACGGACAAGGGCTAGGAGGAGCATAGTTCAGAGTATTGTGGCAAAATTGTTAGGATCCGAATCAGGGCCCGGCACGAGGTGGGCAAATGACAAGCTGGAAATCGTTTTGGGGCCAAAAAGCAAAGGGGATATCGTTTTTGCGGGATCCGGGGCAGAGCCCCTGAAGAAGGTTCCAAGTGCAAGCAAAAGAAGGTCGAATCGCTTACCTTACACATCTAATTCATCGGAAAATAGTGTTCATAAACCCCAACGCACAGCAGACTTCGCGCGCACTACGCCGCGTTGCCGCTAATTGCCGCGTGCGCGACGTCGCATGAGCGATGCCGTTGAACAGCATGATTACATGATCAGTTCTCAATGCAGGCGTAATGATATAGCACCAAATCACGTACGCGAACAAAGAGAGGCTAGTAGAAACAAAGCATGAAATGTTATGAAAAACTTATGTGAATGGGAGGTGTAATAAGCATTTTTTTAATTTCGCAAAACTGTATGAAGATGTGAATTCAAATGGCTCGTTTGCAGCGCACAGGTGACCATACGGTATGAAACTTCGTAGGTACATAAACACGGGCCTGCAGGGCTTATCTTAGAAGCTTCATTGAAAAACTATGTGAATGAAGGTTGTGGCGAGCTTTTTTCTGAAAATTTCCCACTATCAAAAAAATGGAAAAATGGCTCGTTTGCAGCGCACAGAAAACGAAATCGCGCGAGACTTGGTGTGTATACGCGCAGTAGGACTAAGGAACAATGTAGGAAAAATTATGAAAAACTTATGTGAATGAAGAGCGTGCTTAACTTTTTTCGAAATTAGGTGGGCAATTGCCCACCTAATGCCCACCTGAGGTGGGCAAAACTTTCAATTCACATAATTTTTTCAAAATTTTTACATAAATCTGTTGTTCACCTAAAGTTTACTATATGGTGAGATTTTGGTCCCGAAACCCCTCCTCTTGTCTTTGATAGAGCCCAAAATCGCATCAGCAGCCTAGCTTTCTAAGATGGAAAGCGCGCCCCAGTCAATCGATACGCGCGGGAACAGCGTCTCTCAGTCCTATGACTGCGTTCCTTTGATATTTTTTCATTCCCTCATCATTTTCCTTGCTTATTCTTCTTCCTGTTTTCTATCTTGATACAGGTGAGGAGTAATTAAAGGAATTTGAGCATTTTGGGCGCTTTTGAGCGCTTTTAGGCGAAGTGTGGCCGGTGCTCTCGTTCCACAAGCACAAAGCGTCATTTTTGGGCTCAAGGGGGTATTCGTAAAAACTATTGGGGTCAAAGGGGAATTTGTTTTGGAAAACCCCGTCTGCCCACCTCCCGCCGGGCCCTGATCCGAATAAGCAAGACGCCTGTCCTCTTGAGGAAGAAAACAAACCCATCTCCAGCTTACAGTCAAAGATGCCCAGATTCCAAGACGAGAGCACACGAAAGTTATTTGCAGTAGTCATCAATTAAATAATTAGCTGTATGGTTCCATCAGCCTATAGGCTAGTCCAAAAGTCTTGTACCAAAATTGAAAAAAAAAACAATCATTTACCTCAATTCCTATGAGGTTGTTTTACATAAGTTTTGTTACATTTTCTTCATCTTCCTCTCAGCAGCTAAACTTCGGCGAAATCTCTTATTTCAGACATGGGGAAAGAAACAAAATTAAATGTCATCAGCCTCTCCTTTATGCACATGAGTTACCGAATACAAAGGCATTTCCTAAACTCGTTTGAGCTCTTCTGAAGAAAAAGTTCTTAATAAAGCCTGAATAAGTTTATAGATGTGGTCTATTTTGACCCGAGTTAGGCATTCGACACAGTTGATCACAATCTTCTTTTGTCTATGCTGGAAAGCTTGGGATAGAAAAGTTTACTACTGAGATGGTTCGAATCCTATTTTCAAGACAGAACCTTCTCTGTTCGTGTACTGGAATTTCTACGGCTAATATCTCCTCCATGACAAAGGCGGTCGCCCAAATAGGTTGAGAGCATGCAATGCTGGCGCGCACGTGGCGCGCGGACAATTGTCAACCACGGGTCGCGCGCACCCTCGCGTGGATGGCCGCTGACCGAGCGTGCGCGCGCCCTGTGGTTGACAATTGCCCGCCGCGGCCTTGCATGCTTTCAACCTATTTGGGCGACCGCCTTCGTCTTGGAGCAGATATTAGACCTTGTAAATCTGGAGTTCCTCAAGGCAGCATTATGTCACCGATTCTCTTTATTATATATACCATTGACCTGCCAGTCTGTCCTACCACAGATCCACGAGCTAGAGTGGATGCGTACGCTGATGTTAAAATATATATCGTCTTGGTCAAAGACCTGGGGGTTTTCACAGATTTTAGACTGAGGTACTCTTGTCAAATAGACTAAATCGCCTCTCGAGGAACTCGAATATTGTATGCGATAATGCGCACTGTGTAATCTTCTGATCCTAAACTTCTTAGAATCTATAAAACCTTTGTTCTGCCAGTTGTGGAGTATCGAAGCTTTGTATGGAATCTTACTTTAAAAAAGATGTTGATAAAAATTCAAAGAATATTTACTAAGATTGTTTTCTACCGCGCATTTCCCAATCCGAAATACCTTTTCGTCTTGCCAAACTACACAACCAGAATCCGCAAGTTAGGTCTCAAGAATCTTTTTTTACAGAAAATTGTTAGCAGATACTCTTATGGCTTTCAAAGTTCTGCGAGCCGAGGTGGGTTTAAAACCCAGTAAATATTGGGTTTTTCAACTTATCAGTGAACGCAGGGCTTCTTTTAATCTGGTTGTTTCTAAGTTTGGAACACAATCTCGTTGCAACGCAACAACTTCTTTCACAGAGCAGCTTCGATCTTGAATAAATTTCCATCACCGTTCTTAGCTTTGAATTCAATGGCTCAACTGAAAAAGGCGTTAAAGAAAGTAGATTTATTGCAGTTAATGGGAACTGACGATATGAATCTCGTTTTTTTAGAGTCATTTTGCCATCCTTTCTTTGGCATGATCCGCTGCATTCTTTTGATATTATCAACCGGTATTTTGGTAGCATTTAGCGGTAAACGGTTCTCTTTCTTGTACTATACGTTTTTGTCCGGTCTAGCTCTGTTAATCTTATTGTGCTTTCAAAATTTCACTCAACCTTCCTCGGGGCTGTGACCAGCTAGCTTCCGCCCGTGGGCTCGCTGGCCTTCACAAAGGCGGGACTTAAATTTCTGAAAGATAGTGAGATTAGCAGTTAGTTCAATATACCATCTACCCTCGAAGTAACAACTATGGCCGCTTCTTACCCAAAGATAATCCCAGGATACTTTTTGGGGATTTAGGTTTTTCTGTGCTTCCTGCAGCGTATATGCCAACAATTGGTACATATTTACGTGCTTTTCATGCGTGGTTGACTAACCATGCAATGTTGATATATTGCGTTTGTTACTGACCGCTCCGATCAGGATTAAAAAGCTGTTTTTGATGCATTGAAATAAAATAAAATAAAATAAAAATAAAAATAAAAATAAAGTTAGGAAAATTTTTTCCGCTAAGTGTGAAAAACTTATTTAAACCTAATACAAGTTCGTCCAGATGGGTACACTTCAGATATACGTCTGAGAAATGGAATTTTCTTCCCATTAAAAGAAACTGATAAAAACTAGAAAACTAGCTTGAATAGGTGGATGTGTCCACTCCCACGCCTGTTCATTTCAAAACTTGGCACGGGAATAGGGGCAAGAAGGAATCGTAAAAGCTAACGCTAACAGTTTGTGGTTTTTGTGGTTGTAGTTGGTTGGCTTGCACGCCTCCCTGCGCAATTGATGCAATTATTCCTTAGCTAGACATAGAAGGATTGAAAATTTTGATGCTCAGGCAGTGATGCTGGGCCGCTTTCGCGTAAGTAATTTTATACTACTTAGCTTGGGAAGTACACCTTAGATTTTCAGCCTTCTACAAGATTTCTCGGAAAATTTCGATTTTAACTTCCTTCCTTTTGTTATTTGAATCAAATTCTATGTTTCTCAAAAATTAACTCTTACAGAGAAATGAAAATTTACGGTTGTACTTAAGCTAAGTAGTATAGAGTTACCTACGCGGGAACAACCCACCACCACTTTGGCAGAAGCTAAAATTTTCAATTTTTCGATTCCAGTTAGGGAGAAATTACAGCAACTCCGCGTATGGATGTTGATGAGGGATGTATGCCAGCGAAAAGTTGTCCGTAAAAGGTTTTTGACGATGCAATTTTTTATGTTTTTCAGTCATTTGAAACTTTTTAGATTTCATCTTCAAACTTCATAGAGATATAACTTGGTGCAAAAGCAGCGATGCCATTTTGTAGAGCTTGCTTTGTCCTATCAAATGATATCCCAATCACGTTTCTGAGATTTCAACTGTTGCGATGCCATGACGGAACAAAAAAGGACATTCTTTTCTTTCCAACCCAATACTCCTGATATTGAGTCAGGCGAGTGGAGGTGTACCGAGAGAGCATTTCGAATTTTTTGAAAATTTTTTCCTTTTTCTGTCCTTGGGTAAGGCAATAATGACTTACCAGTGGCGTACCGAGGGGGGGGGCGGGGGGGGGGGCGCGCGCCCCCCCCGAGAATGGGTCGCGAAATTTTTGAAAGTTACTTATATGGGTTATAAAAATGTGTAAGTGACTTGTTTATTTTTGTGAATAATTAAAATAATTTTTAAAAATTTTTAAAAATTCAAATTAGCCTTGTAAAAAAATTTTTTTCGGGGGCGTGGCTGACGCCACGCCCCCTTTTTCCAGATTTTAGGGGTCGGGGACCCGAAAAAATTTTGGGAAGCACACCCAAAATTTTTTCGGAGTGCGTGGCTAACGCCACGCACCTTCTTTAGAAAAAAATTTTTGTCGCGCCCCCCCCGAGCCGAAATCCTGGGTACGCCACTGTGACTTACCTCAATAAAGTGTTAATGTAAGCTGCTTCTCCACTTTGTGCTTCGCGTAGATAACCAGCAGGTGCATGCTTCACTTTGAGAAAGGGTTCGAATATAAAGAGCTGCGTAAAAACGCTCACAACCGAAGAACAGAGGAGGGCAAGCTAAAAAAGGATATTTCTTTTACAATTTGCGACCTACGAAAAATGCTGAAATCACGCTCACCCAAACAAATTCAAATGAAAGAACATCGACCAAGATGTGATCCAAACGTATTTGTCCAATAAACCATTGTATGACGAGATTTGCATCTCTAAATCAGCAAAGTCCTCCCTATCCATAGTTCAAGGATAATTTATACCTGACATGTGAGAATATGGCGGCTATTTTTTCGCGGTATAGGAACATCGTACCACGTCCTCCCTCAACTGGAAAGAAGCCCATTATGTGTTGAAACTAAGCACGAAAGTATCCAGGCCTTGGGAAGCTGGGTATCTTACGTTGAAACTGATTGAAAGGCCTTAATCTCAAACCATTATTCAAGCCACAACTCATATATACGTTCCCGTCCGAGAAGTCGAATTTGAATTCTCGTCCAGACCGTACTCTTTCGGGTCAGACCCATCAGCGTCCTCGAGTACGGTAGACAACACGGTCTGTGTGTAAAATCCATTTTTTCTGCCATGAATAAAGCATATGCTCTTCGTTTGAAAAGCTCAGTGAAGGCTTTCAAAACAGTCTCCATGTAAGAAACCGAGGTACCTAGTCCAGACTGCCTTAATGCCTACTCATGATTTTCTCCTTTGGCCCATCGTTCCGCTGCTTCTCCAAAGTTAGTGTGAATGGACAATGAAAAACTGTGGAGGCGATTGCACTTCTTATGCGATGGGAAGGTACGGAAGAGACGGGCACGCTCACATCAACTAGTCGGGTGCAAAACCATACAGCAGAAAACCATCCAAGGAACAGGATATTCAGAATGCACTTGCTCTCCATCTCCTGAAAATCTTGTTTCGAACTAATACGCCTACACTGAAATTTTCCAGACACATATTTATTACGAGACAATGAAAACATTCAAAAGGATTTACGACAATCTAAGATGCTTGCAGCACTTGGAGTGTTAACGGCGATATTCCACATAGAACCGAAATCATGAAAACTAGAAGTCTTGCTATGCGCTTATATCGATAGCATTGATTATAGTTCTATCAAGTTATCCGGGCACTTCATTCAAAAATTAGTTTTAAACAAGTCCAGTAATGTTGAAGTATGAACAACTTTTTTTTACATCATTTTGTTGTTTTAGAAAAGTTTTCATGGATTTTGTCGAACTATAAATCAAAAAAATGTGCAAAGTCGAAATTTCGATCTACCAGTGTAAGTAATCATAAAAGAATCGCATTTCATCACTTTCCCAAGATCGATGGAATTGAAAAATTCAGGCTGTTGAAAAAGAATTTGCAGTCATCCGTTTACAAAAAATTATGTTAGAAATCCACATATTTCGGAATTTTCGAACTCAATTCAAATTGATCATTATGCCTAAAACAAGATATAAAAAACTACCTCGTTTATAACCTACATCGGAAAATTTAAAAAAACTCCAAAGTTTTGCAACTGCTCATGAAAGTACCCCAAGAAACCAACCGAGAGCTCACAAGCGGAAAATACCATGGCTTCAGAACTTTTTACTCTATGTTGAAAGCTTGTACATATAGATGGCAGAGCTGACAAGCACATTTTATGCCCAATCACAGATTTCACGTTACACTGCTCGAAACCATGGACTACATCCTTAGCTTCCATGAATAAATGGAATGCAAGAGATTTGATTTTCCATTCTTTTAATTTTTGATTACTTTTTTCGGTGTCTAATCAATTACCTAGTTGTTCTGAATGAATCGAAAATAGATTTTGGAGTCTTCACTAAAGTAGAAATTTGGAGATTGAGAATGTGCGAATCTATTGCATAGATGAGCCGACAGAAGGCCAGACTGATGCTAATCACGGTCCTGCACAATCATAGTAAAGCTACAGTAAGTGTACTGTAGATGCATGGCAATTATGGAAACAATCGAAACTGTAGCCAGTGTAGGGATGCAAAGGAAAGAGAATTTTGCTCTGAGATTTCTGCTATTAGCAAATGAGCGAAGTTATTAGGTTGGAAGGAAGAGAATGTCGTTTTTCACAATAAAGCAATAAGATGGATCCAAAAAAATATGGGAGGGGTATCATACAGTGGAGCAAAGGAAGCTCTACAATACGACCTTTGAACATAGCCATAAATCGTGATCTAACCAAAGTTTAGAGCCAGAACATAAAGCCACTCATAGTGCCAAAAATCGGGTTCTCGCCGCAGAAAGTCCTACGAATTTCTCACTTGCCCCTGCCTATGACAGGCACATGCAGGGACCATAGGTACACTGGTATATTTTTTCATGCTTAAAAATCAAGAAAGAACTGAGAAAACTGAAAATGCAAACTCCGCCCCCAGTGGTCCTGGGCTCTTCTTGTATGTGCCGTGGTATGCTACAACCTTCGTAACTTTGAACATAGAATTTTGGCTTTGATATACCTTGGTTCTTGAGAAGAACTGTCGCACCCAGTACTCGATTGTGCATTATGTCAAATATCACGGAATTTTTTCCCGGACACTGCATAAAAATTGCAAGTTCATTTTTTCTCCGATGTAGCTCATTGCCTTTCAGGATTCGGAATTTTCTTTGCTGAAGCGAAAATAGCTTTACATTTTCCTGCAACCAATTTTTCCAAGTCTAGACAGCAATAGCACTGCAATCGCTTTTGCGCCCAAGATTTCTATATGGCACAGGAAGATCGCAATCGTTCAAACTAAATGGTTCAAACTTGTGACAAGCTCTTTCAATTCAAAGATATCCAAAAGTTATGTTCATGCGCATTCTGTAGCATAATCACCCACAAACATTCTGCGCTTTTTGAAATCCTGAGTCATCTCCGTGGACTCAGACGCGGACAGCGAGAAAAAAAATTCGAGATATGATTTGGTTCCAGAGCGCACGGAATTTTGAAATTTACTTCTGCGAAAACGAAAGCATGCATAAGAAACTAGAAGAAAGTAAGTGGTTGTGATGACTTACAGTAGGTCTATTCCAAACAAATATGAAAACACCTAAATGTATACTCCGCAGACAGTTTTTTGGAGATACTCAGACACCTAGATGAAGGAACCAGATAACAATTGATCAGAACTAAACTATGAAAAATTTTCTACATTGAAAAATTATGGTAAGCAAAATTAGTCAACATGATAGAATCTACACAATATAGCAAGAGAACTGCGTACCGACGCAATCGATCGAACACTGCAGATGCAGGGTTGAATTGATGAACCGCACTCACGGGAATAAATCAAATGCGCGCTTGCTATCAATATATGGTTTAAGTTCGACAGAAGAAGTTACTACATGAAAAACTGCTAACTCGAGGATTACAAAAAGCGTTAGACTGATATTATTTTGTAAACAGAACATAAAAATTTCTAAACTTGCGAATGTACCTATAGTTCAAGATACAGATTTTACAATGAAGACTATGGCCAAGATTGACTGTAGAGCTATAGTTCATAAAAACCTGGATTAAATTAAATTCTATATCTATTTTTTTAGAGAGTTCTCAACGCTTCACGGCATGATCGGAGATAAATCAGTAAAAACCAGCACTTATTCATTTGAAATTGTTGAATGGTAAGAGAAAGCTGGAAACAGCGAAGTACCATGCCCCGTTGCATTTTAGAGAGGCAATCATAAACATTAATACACCCTAACGTCCTCAAACCTTTGTCAATCATACAATTTTTATTAGGGCTTGGAAAGCAGAATGACAGGATGAGCCACTTTATATTTGCAAAAACGCTATAAACAATAATAATTTTATTGATAACAACAAACAATCATGCATTGCGTTCAACGTTTTCCTCCGACTCGCGGGGCAGCGGCCTTCACTGGCTTTGGCGGCTTCATCTTCTGTGGTACCGGCTTCTTCTCCTGGAAGAATAAGCTCAGCTTACTTTTATACCAAAAAAATATAGTGGATTAGGGATTTAATTGGTAAATGTTGAATCACTTCGACCACACGCTCATAGCCATCCAAATTGTGAAAAACTCACAAAAATGAACCGTAGCGCGCATGGGAATAAGTGCATCCAATGATTTAGCACATTTTCGACACTCAACACACTACTATAGTGTATTGAGCTCTAATAATGCGCACTTGAGAGGCAAAATAGCAGCAGGTTGTCAAAGGCAAATTATCACAAAAAATAGAGCAAATTACATCAAAAGAACGTAATCGGAGAAAAACAAACCTTGTTTTGTGCGGCCTTAGCTGCTCTTGCTGCCTTGTTCGCTTCTTTGGCGGCTTTGGCTGCTTGCTCACGTTGTTGTCGTCGGAAATCAGAGGTCTGGTTTCGCTTAGCAAGGATTGCTTCGAGAGACATTCCAGCGACAGCACGATTGAGGGTGGTAGTGGCCTTCTTTATCTTCTTCTTTTGGACATGTTCCACACCATGAGTTCCCTAAACATAACCACTAATCTTACTGTATATCTAACCAAAAGATGAATTCCAAGAATATAGTGCTGCTCCTACCTTCTTGTGCTTGATTCGATACAACACAGTCCAGCGGATATCCCTAGGACTGCGCTTCAGCTTCGTTGCTCGAAGACATTTGGCAGAAAGGAAGATTTGAACCTAAACCGATATATCATTGGGTAGATAAATGGAATGATTTGTCAATCAGCTGTTCTTGGTAATTCATCAGCAATTATTAAGCAGGCGCTAAACATGATTATTCACTATAGATGATCCACTTCATCTGCTTCGATATGGTCAAATTTGTGAAGAGACCAATAGAGAAGATGTGTTTCAACCAACAGCAAAATGAATGAAGTGGTTCGATGGACTAAGTGGATTAAGTGGATCAAGCTTAAAAAATGAGCGAAAGAGAAAACTAAGAGTGAAACTTGGCAGTACGACTGACAGCAAAAAACTCAAAAGCAGAGCAATTATGAAGTGAAATTGTATTCTCATAAATGCCTTCGTGGACACCAAAATTCACATAACATTTCTCCCGTCGTTTAGAACAAGTCCAGAATGACACCTTCCTCTATTACATCACAATAGTTAGCCTGGTCCTCTAAATTACACAAACGCTTGAACTTTGTACTCGACACGCGAATTCAAAATGCTACCCAAACCGCATGATGAATAAGGTCTTTGATAACAGATACAAGGAAAATAAAACCTCATAACTCCTTAGAGAACTAAAATGCACGCATTGCAGGAGGGACCAAAGGCCTGCCACTGTCTAAGCGCCAAAATCAAAAGAGGAAACAGTATGAGGTCTGGAAAAGATCCAAAATGCTGAGAAGAAGCGGGTGAGAACAAATCCCGCAACTTTGCTTGAAGGGCAATCCAATGATTTAGACATTAGCATCGACAAGAAGAATAGTTCTTTAGTATAAACCTAACTCAAAAGTAAACAATACTGTCGCACCAGTCTAACTTGCTCTTAAAAAGGAAATGGTAGAAAAACTGAAGAATTCTGTAGAAGTTTTAAATATCTTTCACATTCGGTTCTAACATAATCCTGGAAGAACTTATCTGCAACACTGAGAAGAACCGCTAGCTTAGAAAGAAGAACTTAACTTTTTCAAAAAAGAACCCAAATTGTATTTCAAACCACTGTGGAGCAAGGAAAAACCACTGTGGAGCAAGCATTCCGAAAAGCACTGGATAATTTTTCCACATTTGAATACATATTTGCATTCTAGATTACCTCCTCAATTAGTAGACGCCCCTTGTAATATGGCAAGTTCTGTATTCTTCATCTTGTAAGTCAGTATGCAAAGTTAAGATAAGTTGTTTCCGCTCGAAATTAGATACAACCTTTCCTACCAAAGTTAGATCGTTATGCAATCTTCTCCGCAATGCTTGCGCTTTAATGATCACCTGCGGATGAAAACGGCAAACCAGTAAGTTCTCATGCACCCCTCTTTCAACTCTAGCTCAAATGAAACCGATCATTTAAGCAGAGCACAAGTCCTCCACTTATACTTGCACCACTCATTTCTGCAACGGGTTTGAATATTCACCTTTTAGACGATGCGGAACAATAAAATGCTTGATGGAATGCTTTCGTTTGCTTTCTAAAGCTAGCACGAAGGAAAAAATAGTAGGGAGTATAATTGAAATGTATCCAAATGTATCCATCCTTAAAAAAAAAGTAAAAATGTACAATGAACGCAACAAAGCAAAAGAATCATACCTTTCCATCAGGACGGACAACGCGTTTTCCGTGTCCCGGGTAGATTTTGTAACCGGAGTAGATGCAGGTTTCCAACTTCATGCTGGTAAGGCCCTTGTTCGACTACACTGAAAACTGTCAGTAACTTGAAAGTTTATGAAGAGTACACACGACCAAAGGAAAAGCGTAAGGCCACTTCGGGAAGAATAAGCCACTAGCCACGAAAGATAAGTTTCAATCAACTACAAGTGCAACTGGCGCTTCAAACTAGAGCTGTCAAAAAACTTTCAGACGTTATTTTGATAGTTTAATACGAGAAAAATATTTAGGAAGGAAATAAAATCGGGCATTTTAGCGCATACACGAAATGGGCTGCTACGCAGCACCCCTCTTCTTGCCAGGACCCCAACTTTTCGAAATTATCTCAAAGAATCATCTGCTTCAAGGATAGAACCAAGTTCTTTAGATTCTTCAGCTGCCAAAGTCTAATTTGCAATCAGTAGTTGCAATTAGCAATGATTGGCAAAAGGTGGTGTCATGTGCTATTAAGTAGGCTTCTAAATTCTCTCCGAAGAAAATTAGACACTTTTGGCCAGAGCTCCACTACATTTGACCACAATGTTTAGAAGGTGAAAGTATGACTCGAGGCAAGGGTTTGAAGAGGCACAGCCTTCGGGCTGATTTGCTCGTGAGAGTCAGTCTTCACATAAGGGGTTCCACGCAGTCCGATTACGGTAGCCACAGCACCGGAATTTTGCGTATTTTCTATTTCAAGTGTCTAATCCCAAATTTTCATAGTTTAGCACTGTATTTAGCTTTGTATTTTCTCGTATATTTGAAACTGAGAAATCATGAATTGTGTCGAAATGTTTCGTTCTCTGTCTTTGGACTTTCATGATCAACGAAATTCTAGAACTTGCGGTCAGGATGCTGATTCCTAGCAAAAATAGAAAGGCAATCTACGAATACCTTTTCAACGAGGGAGTCGCCGTCGCTAAGAAGGACTTCAACCTTAAGCAACACCCAAATATCCCTGGTGTTACTAATCTTGAAGTAATTAAGGCTTTGAAGGTGCGCTTTTAGTTTTTCTTCGTTTTGTATAGTGCATCCAATTTTGCTATTAATTACTAGTTAGTGTTGTTCAGAGTCTCGCCTCTCGCGAACTTGTCAAAGAGCAATTTGCGTGGCGACATTATTATTGGTACCTGACTGATGAGGGTATCGCTCATTTGAGGGAGGTTTTGAACCTGCCTGCTGAGATTGTTCCCTCTACTGTGAAGAGCAAGCCAAGAGAAGTCCGCGCTGCTGCAATTGAACGCATCCCACGTCCAGGTATTAATATTCCAACTTTTTGTTTTGAAGTTCCTCTTATCTTTTATTCTTTGCATATCATGTTACTTCAAGTCATGGATGCGTAGTCTTTGTCTTTCCCTTCTTCGGTTTTTACACTTCCTTAAAGGCAGCGTCCAGGCGGATCTGGACCTATGGGCATTTTACGTGGAAAGTACATTTAGGGCCTTAACTAAGGCACTACCCAAGTGGCAGCGCAGGTAGTGCTCTAACGGCTGAGATATTCCCCTCGAAACTGGAGGATTCATGGCAGTTACGCGCGGATCCACGCTTTGCGCCATGAATCCATGCCACAATCGGGAGGTCCAGTTTTGAGGGGAATATTCTCAGCCGTTAGAGCACTACCTGAGCCCGGTGCAGTGGCTTAGTAGGGCCCCAAAATTACTCTCCACGTGAGATCCCCATGCGTCCAGACTTGCTTGGACGCTGCCTTCAAGTCTACTTCTTCAAATTTTTGCAACCTAGATTCTTTACACTCACCCAAGATAGTACAACTTTCATGCCGTGAGTTATGCTTGAAGGCAGCGTACCCAAATTGTCGTCTTGAATGTTTTCATCGTCCTTAGGCCTTTCCATGGCCCTTATTCTGATGGGGTGCAAATTACTTGGAAACTCCGAAAACTAACGTTGATTTGACAAGAATGGACGAGTGTTCCAGCGTTCTTCCCGTCGCATACAGCAAATCCCGCCGTGTGCTATAGGAATATAGCTGTACAGTCAGTGCCTCGCATGTGCTTGCAACATTAGAACGCACAGAAAGTCGTCCCTGGATAGGTGGCGCGCAGAAAAGGGCGAGGAGCACAAAAGGACTATGGGTTCCAGGTCTATTTTCTCTTTTTGGAAACAACATTAGAGGACCGGACCAACGGTCCTTCTGCCAGGGTATGCTCATCCAATATATAGTTGTTTGAGCATCGTGGATTTTGGGTGTACCCTGCTTTCAAGCGTAACTCCATATGCCCTAATCGTAAGCATTGTCGACTAAAACATGAAAATGTTCTCGGATATCTTTCGACTTGTCGAAGCACTACATCACTACATGTACTCATGTACTATATAATACAGGAAAGAGCCTTGCAATGTGACTACTTTCACTACCCACCTTTTCATGCATGCGTCACAACGATGTCATAATCTTATACAAAATGTATTTGAGAAGACATTATTCCTTTCTGTCTCTCAGTTTAGATTTAGGACCTTATAATTCACGTAATTGTTGACTTAGTCTTTCCAAGGATTTCCTGTTCTGAATCAGAAATGCTCGATTTGAGCTTTCGCTTAAAGGCAGTGTCCAGGCAAAAACTCGATTTTGAGTTTTTGTGCTTATACGGGCCTATTCACCATGCTGAATCCGAAAACTCACATTGGAAAGCGCGAAAACGGCGAAAAAGGGCTCGAATACAGGAGGGAAATCAGCAGGTGGGCGGGGATTTCCCCAGTGCGATTTCACGCTCCCAGCTCCCGGAGCGATTTTCTCGATTCCGCTAGCCGTCCTAACATCGCTACCGGCCAAGTGCGAATGATTGACTTTAAACCGGAAGCGAGAAGGTCGCTCCGGAAGCCGGGAACGTGAATTCGCATTGGGGAGGACCCCGCCCACCTGCTCATTTCCCTCCTGTGTTAGGGCCATTTTTCGCCATTTTCGCGCTCTACAATGTGCATTTTCGGATTCAGCGTAGCGGATAGGCCCAAGTAAGCACAAAATCTCAAAATCGAGTTTTTGCCCGGACACTGCTTTCAAGTCTTGTCCTGGTTCTCTTTGAACAAATTGTAGACGTAAGAGAGTTGATATATTTTGTTTACATTGGTTTTTTCGTTCATATCTTCGCCTTTCTTAAACATAGGTGAGTTTGCGTTCATGTAATTTACCTTTTTGCGGTTTGATCCCATTTTTCTGACGTGAGTATTCAACAAAAATACGTTTTCCGTAATTCTGGAGGTTATGCAAATGGAGAGCTGAGTATCACCTTACTGTGATTGATTTAGAAGTTGTAAATTCTGGGATTTTTATGGAAGCTTTCTCTTTGATGCGAATGCTCACGTTTCGTTCCATTCTCAACGATTTACGCTCACTATTACTAGGACGAGCTTTTGCATTGTAGAATATGCAAAGTCAGAGCATCATCTTGATATGCTCATCTCTTACATTCCATGCTTTATCCCAAATTTAAACCGAGTATATTCTGCTGCATGGAATCATTGTTTGAGTTTGAATGCTATGATATCTTGGCGCCTTGGTCTCCTTAGTGTTTTACAGATACGCTCAACATCTAGATTACTTTATCTGATTTTATTCACTTGCTTGAACTGCTTTATCTAATTCAGATTCAGCTCCAAAACATGTTTGTTTCTTATCATCAGCTTTCTGCTCGGAACATCTCGTAAGGGAATATAATTTTTTTGTAAAACCACTGTCACTAAGGGTACAAACACGATGATGTTTTTGCTCTTTGTGTTCTTCCCGCTATTCACGTTCATCATGGATCAAAGATCGGTGCATAAAGTCAATTTTTTAGCACCCGGTAAGGAAGGAGATCGCGACGCCTACAGAATCGCCGAGAAGGTCACAGAAGCCGGACCTGGATCAGCGATGCCCTACCGTGCCGGATTTGGAAGAGGAGCTCCGCCACCACAGTAAAAAAATGTGTTGATTTATTGTTTTTGATAAACTGTTATTGTTTCATAGAGAAAGGTACACACTGGTTCTGACCTAATCTGTTATGTTATCGCAATATGATTGAGAAAAATTGCGTAATGAGAAAATTTTCATCTTACTGCAAGTACTGAATTAGAGAGAAGTATATCTGGCTGGCTCTCATCATTATTCGCAAGCCATAGGACTGTTTGGACGGGGTGAAGGATGCCACCTCCTCGGCAAAGAAAGCATGTGAATGCCCCACCCGTACAGCTTGTAGGACCACAGCCGGTTGTGGGGTATGTTCTACTTCTTAAGCTAGTCGTTTGGCTTTCATTGACGCTAACTGCAGTGATTTGAAGTTAATTACGAAAAGATGTTGAAAGACACTATGCTTTGATTGGAACATGCTATGTAGTACTTTTTCGAGAATCAAAAATACTGACTACCCTAAAATGTCACAGATAAATCTTCCCATCAGATAAGTCCGTTTATAGATAAGTCCGCCTTCATATAGGTTCGCTTTTTCTTGACTTACCTAGTTAAGGCCTTTTAGATGAATCAGCCTACAGATAAGTCCGCTTTTTTCCCATTATAAATGCCCTGAAGTCTTGTCAGGTAAATCCGAAGACTGTCAAGCTCGGGCTTGTCTGTAGGTACTTATGTGTTATGAGGACTTATCTGCAACGTTCTTGGCGGTACAAGGATGCATTTTCATCGTTTTTCTTGTCAAAAAAGCAGATTTACCTGTAAGATTTTGGGGTAGTATATACCCTAATTTCACGAGCATGGGGCGCGGAGGATTTTTTTTCTAAAATCGAACAGCACAGACACGCCGAAGGACTTCGAGACCAAGGAACTATATACAGTGCTGCATATTGCTTGAGAGTATCGTGCGGCATAATTGTTTTACGAAATACAGCGAGCGGCTGAGGGCTCGTTTCAAAAATCGAAAAAGCTGCGTCTTATACTCGTGAAATTAGGGTATATGCAGCCCTTTGAAGAGCCCCTGTACTCTGCATTGTGTGTAAATGTGCAAAAACTGCTTCTTCAATTAAATTTTTGAATCTTATAAGTCGTGCTTGTTCTTGAGAACATGTGACAATAACTAACATATAAATCACATTCCTCTATACCAAACATCTAGTCTGTGTAAGATATGGTTGTGCTTGTGAACATCAGTCAGAATGTGCTGGAAACATTGGGCAGTGAAACTGTGCCGGTAATGAATCAAGATCATAGTGAGCTCTGTCATAGGCAGCGTCCGGGTAGATACGAAAATGTAGGGTACAGGGGCGCCCGTCCTGGTAGACTCGTCCTCGGCTCTTGGCCAACTGGCAATGCATCAATTTGCTTCTGAAGCGAGAAATCTGCTAGAAGTGGCGGAACGACCCGGCGACCGGGACGATAGTTCGATAAGTCAGAGTGCGCATACCGCACACGGTCAAGACATGGAGTCCCACAAAGACCCTGCGTCTTAACCTTGGCGGCAGGCGACAAAATTCATATCGAGAGCTTCTGGAAAAAGCCCGTTTTTGGCGTTTTCGTGCCCTCCAAGCTGCATTTCCAGAATCAGCTGGAGGATTAAGCCAGCGAAAAAAAAATTCCATTCGAAATTTTTCGCGGACGTTGCCTTTAAGTCTGTTGTTCTGCTGCTTAGGTGTCAGAAAAGAAACTCCAGGGTATCAGTTTAGCAGAGACTGAGAAATAGTCGCCACGATGGCTTCTTCTGTCGGGTGTGCTGAGATCTTAACACGTTTCGGACCGGTGCTGCACATGGTGCAGCACGCGGGTTTGAAGGATCTTTTCAAAGTTTGCAGAAGGTTTTCTTTTTGTCCAAGTTTATTGAGTCAAAGGCCTAAGCTCCTCCTTTACAAAAGACTCTGTAGAGCTGTGCCGCAGATATTTGTTCAGAAGATATGAGGACAAATCGAACAACAGTTGCAACGAAGTGCGGCAACGCGAACGACGCGTGCGACGTCGCAACTTTTCTTTGCTTTGATTTCAGAAAGAAAAACCCTAGTTTTGATAATGATGTGTACCTTGTACTACATGGATACTTTTGCATACTATTAGAAACTGAGTTCTTGTTCCTATCTTTCAAGAAAGCACGGAAGTCCTTCTCGAGCGACAAAATTTAAACACTTCGTATTCACTCAGAACTTTGGGTATGGAGCATATCTGGCATTCTGATTACAAATGTAGCAAAAAGTCTACGAAATAAGATCCCTTTATTGGTTAACGGCTGAAAGTACACTCATTTTCGCCGCGCGCGATTTCGCGGTCCGAAACGTGTTAATAAACGCAGAATAACGCAGAATACTTCATACAGGAGGGGGCTACTTTTCTATTCAAAGCAACACTCATATTTGGAGTAACACGTGGATTAAGGGCACTCTAGACTTCAGTGTACTTTGATGTCATGACACTGTTGCAACAGTAGGCAGTTGTCTAAGGTATATAAACTCGGTATGACAATACTGAAACAGGATTGTGAATGAGAACAACTCCACACTTCTATAACCTTACCATAGAGTTCATGTCAAGGTGTCGCTCTTAAAGCATCCTCACAACAATGTATATCTTTTTTGCCAACGCACATTTATTTTTAGGCAATATAAGCTGGGCGTAATAATCTGTGTGCGCTATTCTCGCACATTTACTCATGCATTCACTTTGATGCACTACTTTTGCAGCAACTCAGCTGTGGATGAGAATCCCACATCAATCACTGGCCTCACCGTCTCCGTGCATCCAGTTTGGCCAGACATGCAGTTTACTCAGGGTGAACTCTTTTTTGAGTGCACACTATTTCTGTACTCCGTGCTAGCTTTGTTCCTGCAGTATTTGAATATTTACAAAACATTATGGTGGCTTCCGAAGTCGTATTGGCACTATTCAATGGTGAGTGACGTAGATATTATCCTTATTTTGATATAAAATTTGATGGTTTTTAGTTTTTGCTTCTCTGTTCTCCCTAAAGTAAACTTTCTCAGAAATTTCATCTGATCAACCCGTACTTTCTGTCGTGTGTGGGTCTGTTGCTTGGTTGGAGAGTCACGAAATGTTTCTGGAAGACGGTAAGTGGAAATTGCTTTTGGGATCCATTGGTAGTGTCTGCTGCATCTTTGCTTCGGATATTATTCACTTCTTTCTATATCTTATTGTGAGAACTGCCTGCTGCTTTCTGATCGCAGATTTACAGATAACTGAGCTCGTTGCGACGATCGCCATTGATAAATCCACCTTTGTTCAGTCGACCCTTACTGTAATAGAATATGCGATTATAAAAACGCCTTTGATGACTCTCATCATTACTAGCTTTTTATTCAGGTAAGCCAGCGCCGATGAGTTTAGCTGCACTATTTCCCCAATAGATCATTTTTTGCAGTTTCTCTCGAATCTGTCATGACTTTCCATTGAATTCTGTGATGTACTTCTTTCATCCGTAAGTTTCTTCTGCATCATCTGTGTTATGACCCGCTTCATGCAACTTTAGGTTGATTCTGTATGTTGTGGTGTTTTATGGAGAATTGATCGGAAGATGGCGAAGGTTCAAGAAGGCCTATGCCGAATGGTGGAATAACGACATTGACATCGCACAGGTTTGTTATTGTACTATTATAGATGAGTGATTAACCTGTCAAATTATTCGTTTACTTATTGGCCTTCTTATCTCTGGACCATAGTTGAAATCAGTAGTGTTGCTATATCGCGCAGATGCAGTATATAGGGAAGCGAAAAAGACCGTCGGAATTGTTCGAATGGCTAGGGCAAATAGTCAATGTAGCTCATATCGGATCAGCCTAGATCTTTGGGTTTTTTCTAGTGCGTTAAACCGGATGTTTTCAGCTTGTTGATCGGTCGATTGAACCACCACCAGCACAATTAGACCTTGACTCAGTGCTTCATATGTGCAGTTCGAATCCAGGTGTGTCGTTTCCGTTTTTGGCACCAGTCTCTTTTAAGCTTTCATTTCGCTTCTCTGATGTACAAGCAAGTCGATCTGTAGCGCACTTGCTAGTGCCGAATTTTCTAACTACCAAAATACACTTCGTCTACTGCTTATTTTTGAAACCGTGTCCTATAGGTTTCAGACTTCGAAAGGAAGTTTGATTTCTTTTTAGTACGTAGTCATGACGTTAGATTAGATATGTAAAATTCAAATGCAAGGGTAAGATGTAGGCCTCTTAGTTTCTCAGAAATCTTGAAGAAGACAAGTGAGATATAGCGGGCGGTCGAACTCTACATCAGTTTTGTTTTGTCAGAGAATGCTGTGCCCATCTTCTTTCCGTGTTTTCCTTGTGTTAAATCTCGTATTATTGCAGTTCAAATCCGTGAAGAAGTATCGCTGCTGCTTGAAGATATGTATCTCAGGCTAAAAAGAAGTCTTTTCGCTGGAGTATCTACTGCATTCTTATCCATATTCTTACCTTGCGTTTTCGTGCCGGTAAGTTATTGGGTTAAAGCTTGCTCATGGATTTTCATTCTTTTATTTGATCTGACCATTAAAAGATGGCAAGATTTTAGCGCGAGAATTTTTTCATGAAGAAATTCTAATACTTTTTCCCATTTCACTAAATATTTAGTACAAGACTTCGTTGGGAGTCCCTCAGAAGGTGCTGGTTGATGAAGCATGGGAATCGGAGCTGTGTATCGTTGTTGCTTTGACAGCATTCTCATTATACATCACTTATCTGATGCCATTGAACTACTTGGATTTGCTGCATAGGTGGGTTTTCGCAGTTGCGGACTGGTTTTCCCGTAGTCATCTCGCAAAATTTCATAAATCTATAGATCATATAAAGTTGTGCCAGTACTCTGGTATTATTTATTTCTAAGTAAATTGTAAGTTCTGGGGTTCTAGGGAACAAAGAGGCCTTGTAGAATTTGTGGAAGTGTGCCTCCCGCTACATCCTTTTTTATATAAAGTCAAATATTGGAAAAGATATCAACATGTTACATCAAATTACCAGTGATTTCTGGGGTAATCAGAAGTAATTCCTTAATCTTGCAAAACTGCAGATCTTGTAAGAAAGTTTGTGAAGTTTTGGTTACCACTTTCACATAAATCACGTATTCGAAACCAAAGCAGTAGGGCGACCTCCCCCCTTCATTTCAGTGTTCTGTTGTTCCTTTTCCCTCCCTCCTCTTCATCCGACATTGCCTTACTATGTAATCGTAAAATGCTCTTTATGTAATTCGGGAACCTGGTGAGTTTGCACTTTGGCAAAATTCTTTTTTTCTTCCCAGATAGCATTGAGTAGTTTGCGAGAAGAAGCGGCATTGGTCTTTCAAAGCTCAAATTACTTACCTGCGCTCTACATATGACAGCACTAATGAAGCTAGCAAGTTGTCTATGCGCTCTCGCTCGGAGATGGCGGCCGTGGTGTTCCAGCGAGCGATACGACGCATCTGGCTGAGCGCCGTACTCGCGCTAAATTGACAACGAAACCTTGATAAGACTACAGGGCCTTTTATAAGACCCAGTGTCCAATTTTTGGGAACCCTTGCGGGAGCAAGGGTAAAAAAAATCAGAACTGGATGGACACAATCCACCTCTCCTCCCCCCTCTTCCAAGCGTTAAGTGAGACGTTAATACTTTTGTACTCTTCCGTACCTGTTGGTAGGAAGGTATCAAGCACGCTTATCCATAGAGGCATCACGCACGCTTATCTATACAAGTAATCATCTATAGATGATTACTTGGAGGATTTCAGCTGTGTCCTGTGAATGACATACAGTGTGCTGTCATCGTCTTTTTCGATCATTTGTTCGAAAGGCTTTTTTTCTGTAATCGCAGCTTAACATACATACTTTATTCGACTAGGATTTATAATTGGTTTTGTTCTGCAATATGTGTCTTTTTCCAGTATCGCAATTATCATATGGTTTTGGAACAAAGATTCCGATCTGTATATTCTGACTTATTAACAGTAAACAACATTGCAAGAAACTTAAGAGTAAAAAGTTTGCAAGTAGCGAATTTTAAAAAACTCCTCTTATTTGGTATTTACTAGAGGAAGTAAATATTACGCGCTTTGTAACGGTGATTGGAGCAGAAATTATTGGATTGACGTAATATAAGTGTATAAAAAACACATAATCCTGCTGAATTTGGGTTGGGAAAAAGGACCCATCCTTGTAACAGATCCTAATAAAATTTTGCTGCAAGAAATAAACCCGCTAATAGTTTATTTTCAAGGGTGGATATTCTATTAGGTTGGTGCAAAAGTAATGCGCGTTTTTCTAGTCCTTGCTACTTTTCTTTATCAAACTTTCTTCTTTGGAGAAAACTTAGCATACTATCAAGAAGCTCCTTTTATCCTCTATCCAATAGTGGTTGCAACGGGCTTCTAGTTTTATTAGTTGAAAAAAAATAGAGCTTCCACAACCGCACTCGATACCAGAATTTCACTGCGTTTACTTTTCTGACCAGAAATCAAGCCCAAATAAAGGCAATCTTTCGAAACTCTAGCTACTGTATTTAATGGAAATTCTACATTATGCACATTTTACTATTTTCGCAGAAATTACCTAAACTGAGATCTCGGCGCCTCAACATGGGGCAGGGTTTTGATCATTCTGTGACTCATAAATTTCCTTTGAAGAGGGCAATCCCAAAGTTTGCTCATTCCTGTAAGCGTAAGGTTGGGTCTCCTACTGTTTTTTAAAGAATTGTTAGTTGTTCATTACGCAGAAAATCCAAAAAACTCCATATTGGGATTTTTAGATCTGCGAAAAGATGTCCAAAAAGCGGACAATTTTAAAATCTGATTTTTTCCTTTTAAGCCCTTTCAACTTTTTTTGTGCTACTGGCTTCTGACTGTCAAAGACGAAGTGTTCGGCCATCTGCCCGAACCCTACCATAAATCACCCGCCATAAAAGCGGGCGGGTTCGGGGGGCCGGGGATTAGCGGGGCGACAGCCTTGCGAGTCCACAATAAAACGTTGTAAGGAACGGTTGTGTGCTCACATCGTAGCTGCCAGATACACTGGCACAAATTTCTGGTGCATCGACCGGGAAGATTTCTGAGCTTGCCCTGCGATAAGCAGTTGCAAAAAGAAAAAGAGTTCCATCCTATCCGGATCTGAACGAAAACGCCGTTGAAAGATGTCACTCTTTCTACACAAAAAGGCAATCAAACGCGGTATTCAATCCCTCCAGAAGTTCGTTGAGGGATATACACCGTACACGAAGGAAATGCAGTTGAATGCCCCATTTGAGGAGAATTATGAAGCGTGTCGGGACGCAATAAACAGCATAAATGGAGGCATAAAGGTCATCCAAATTAGTAAGGAGTCACTGCAGTTATTGATAGACAAACTGCACAGAGACTATGAGGAGGCCCGCAAAATTAATAAAGCAGACGCCGATAAAGACCTAGAAGAGGTCGAAAGGGAAACTAACTACACGGACTGGATAGCCAGAGCCAACGATATGGTCTGCATGATGACCACAAGGCTTGCGGAAGCGCATACTTACGCCGAGAAAATGGCGAGAAAACTGGGAATAACCAGTAATATATCCCAGACCGACTCAACGTCGGATTCTGGACGACCTGCACAAAGCAAAAGCACTGACGAGGTAATAAATCCAGCAGATGCAGTATGGCTCTCAGAGGAGAGCGAAGACAGCCAGATGTCTGCAGAGGGCACCCAAATGGCGTGTCAAACTTTGAAACTCAATCAAATGAAGCTACCACGCTTCTATGGTGATGAAGAGGAATTCCCTGAATACTGGGGAATTTTCAACACGTTAGTGGATCAGAACAAAAACCTGACCACCGTAGAAAAAATGTTTTTTCTTAAAGATAGCCTCAGAGGAAGGGCTGAATTAACAGTGAAAGGTATCCAATTAGTCCCACAGAACTATATGTGGATGACTGAGGAACTCAAACGAAAATACGGTAACAAACCAATAAATCGAACCAGAATAGTGCAAAAACTGATCGATATGCTACCTGCAAGCGTCTCCGCGCAGAGCTGCATGGACAAGTATGACAAGATCCGCGTACTTGTAAATCAGATGGTATCCGCCGGCCAAGATATTCGAAAAAGCAACGATGCACTATGGACAGAGAAAATTCTGGAAAAATTTCCGCATCATATTGTGAGAAACGTACTCAAAAACATTCAACACAAAGAATCGGTCACGGTAGAGAATTTATTGAAGGAAATTGAGAAAGAAATCTCAGCAAAACTATTTGTAGATTCCCGATTGAGGAATCGGGGAAGAGAAACACCAAAACCTCAGGACTTCCACCACAATACAGATACGAGGAGCAAGATACGACAATGTATATTTTGCAGCAGAGACCATTTAGGCACGGTATGCAAAGCAACTGATGCACACGCCAAGAGAAAAGTGGTCATAGCAAAAAAACTTTGCTGGAAATGTCTAGCAGACAATCATAACAGCTTCCAGTGCTCCTGGGCAAATTGCTCAGTATGCGACCAAGCACACAATACAAGTTTATGTATCAGGACTAGAGACAATAATAGACCATATAACCCTGCTACGAGCAATCAAAATCAAAACAGGCGTACGCCTTCACAGCCAAGATTCGCGCATAATCCGTTGCGCAATAGGCCAAATGAGCCGCGGTGGAGACCTAACCAAGCGAACATTCACACCACCGACACACTGCAAAATGATGAAACGCAGCCAAAACTGAATAGTCCACGGTCCAAAGAGCAAATTGTGCTCATGACCGCGGAAGGTAATATCTGGAACAACAATACTCACCAGTACGAAAAAGTGTTGTTCTTTTTTGATACAGGAGCACAAAAAACGCTCATTAGAGAACAAACAGCGGAAAAACTTGGACTACCACGCAAAGGTGCAGAATTATGTACCATGTCCGGAATAGGCGGTCACATTGAAAAGTTCCAAAGCAACAACGTCCAAATCAAGGTTTTGACGGCATTTGGTGAAGAACTGAGTCTTGAAATTCAGACTAAACCAATCATAACAAACGGTTTTCCGTCTGTTAAACTAACAAATGACGACAAAAAGTTCTTGCAACATAATGACATTTACCTATGCAACCCCAGAGTCCAGGGAGAGATTCAAAATCCACATATATTGATCGGATTGGACTACTACTACAATTTTATGCTCAGTACGCAAAACACAACCACCTTGCCGTCCGGATTGCGCATTGCCAGAACGATATTCGGCCCGGCAATACATGGGCGAGGATGCGAGCCTAAACCAAACCTCGCTGAACCTTCAATTATCTATGGATTGACACTCTTAAATGAAAATGAACAGTCCGAAACTGCTATATTGCAAAACATGTTTGAACTTGATGGGTTAGGCATACTCGCCGACGGTGCGACAACAGACGAAGTTACATACAACTACTTTAAAGAATACTCAAAATCGATTTCCTACGAGAACGGCTACGCAACGGCTCCGTTCCCTCTACGAGACAACATCGCTGACCTCGCGGATAATTACCCCGTTGCTCAGCGTCGGCTCATCTCTTTATGCCAACAGCTACAAAAGAATAGCGAACAGAAGCAATGGTACTGCAAAATTCTTGCAGATTATATCAAAAACGATATTATCGAAGAAGTAAAACAAACTTCAGCAGAAATGCATGCTATCTACTACATGCCACATTCGGGAGTGTGGAAACCCCAGAAAGCAAAACCGCTTCGAATCGTGTTCGATGCATCATCGAAGCAAAAAGGGCAAATCTCACTAAACGAGGTTATTGCAAA